TTTTTTTTTTCCTCCCCATGAAAGCTCTAGCTTTTGAAGAGACCTGAGAAGTCGAATGTCAACAGTGTGCAGTTCCATTCTCAGGCTATGAAAGTTGCCTCCCTCAGGTGGCCCTGGAAATGTAAAGCTGGAAATGTAAAGAATGCAAGCCTACCTCTGGTGAATCCTTCAGTGTTCCCTACCCTTTCTCTTGGTCAAAACTCACTCTCTTTAGCAGAGGTAAGTTTTCCACAGTCTTTTTCACAACCACCACCAATGAATTTTAACAGTTACTAAGTTGTGCCTACTGTACCTCTCCTCTGGGAACAGTCCTAGACTAGATTTGGATACTGTGCTAATGTGTTTTGTTTACCCTTGGTTGACTGAATATATTGTAATTAGCTGAGTTCCCACAATACACTAAGGCATGAATCAGTTTCACACTAAAATGACTGAGTTCAAAAAACATGAAGTCAACACCAAACAAGCCATATTATGGCTTAGCTTGATGTGTGAAGTCAGCTGTGCTCTGAAGTGGCATTATATACTATGACATGAGATCAACAGCAAGTATTTCATTTGTGGACATTGTTCCAATACTGACCTCTTCTTCACTTTGTTCACCCAGCTTTTGTTTTTGGTTTTTGACTAGCTCCCGCTGCAGACTGTCAAACTTGGACTTGAACCAATGATGAGCTTCTTCCAGGTTAGCAGATATCTAGGGCAGAGAAAGGATATCAGAAATGAAGAACTGTTTATTGATTATAAAAAAGGGGTGACTTTTTCTTAGGCCTTCATATCAGTAACTGATGTATTAAGTTCTTCAATTTTAAACCAAATCATAAAATAAGCTCTTACTTCAGTAGTGAGAAGTTCAGGCATGCCAAGCCAGTTTTAATCTGATCCGTAAAACTAACACCTTTTCAAATATTGTAGCTCAAAGCAAAATAACAACTCTGCCCCAGGATTCTTCCCCTCTTCGGCTCTGTATTTACCTGTTCAGACTCAATGCTGGCTTCTTTTAGTTTCTCTTCAGTAGCCTCCTTGCATTTCCTGAGCTGCCTAATGGTGTCTTCCCTGGTCTAAAGGAACAGACAAAAACACAAATCAGACTACAATTATTTATTCTTCTACAGCAATTTCAATATGACTTAAGATTAGTCATAACAGACATTGCTTTCTATCAAGCAAAAGGACAGAAAAAAGAGGAATATTAGACATGTGACTAGCTGCTACTCTAGGCAAAATATTACAGTGCTCAGTTGCCATAAACTTTGAGCTCAAAAGGGAATTACCCGGCACTCTTCCTCAAGCTGTTTCCGTTGTTTCCTTTCTTCTTCCAGCTGATTTTCCATCACTTGTTGATTTTTGGCCACTTGCTGCATCTCACTTTGTAGGCTTGTTAATTCAGTGGCAAATTGTTTGATACTAAGGGACTAGACACGAGAAGAATCAGACTCCATGATCACATGCAACCATTTTACTTTAGTCAATACCTAACCTGCTATAAAAGTAGATGCTACCTGCTCATAGTTTTTCTTCTGGTATAGTTCCTTCAGCTCTTCCATTTGCCTCAGTTCCAATTCAATCTCCTGAAAGTATTTCACAACAGTGAGAGGAAAGCATCCAGAGGCACCAGTCTACTGTGTCAAGACTACCCCTATACTAAATGACAGTGTCTGCTCTCTCCAGACAGACTCCAGAACCTCCAAAGTACTCATTCTGTTTTCAGGCTGTTGCAAAAGGAAGCAAGGTATTTAAATTTTTCAGTGGCTACCCCAAGGTAAAGAACTCAGTAGCAAAAGCTCAAAAAATAAAATACTGCTCTAGGGCTGACTTCTAGCATGTCCTCAAAAAAAAAAAAAAAAAAAAAGATGGCAGAGAGATCTGGAGGGGGAAAAAATCATATTACCCTGCATTGGCCCCACCATATATAGGACTGTCAAGACTTTTTCTGTAGGAAAGGAGCCTGTAAGCCTTTACTAGCTGCGTAGCTGGGCACCTTTTCCACTAGTGCTTCCTCCACTGTGGTGCTGCAAGATATTAAAGGCACAGAATTCAAGTGCTCCCACAGGCAGCCCCAAGCACATTTCTTGCCACTTCACCTAAACTATTTCAAAGAAGCAGCAATTCTGAAAATAAATCGGTGATAGGAATAATGCTATTTCAGATTCTATCGCTTATTTAATACAGGTTTCGTAAGTACTGCAACTTTAAACCAAATCATAAAATAGGCTCAAACTGTTGGGAAGGTCCCTCCCTTCAGGTGCTGCAAGGAAATTAGAGGGAGGCTGCAAATATTGTTGTGATCCTGACCAGGCTTGCCCAGAGAAAGCAGAAACGTCGTCAAAACTTGCCCCAGGCTTTGCTGTCCACTTTGCCTGCATAAGCCGCCAGCAGTCAGTTGCAGTACAGCAACTTTGGAAAACTGCTATGATACAATCAATTAAAATTTGGTCATTAAAACTAATATGGATTCCTTGCCCCACCTCACCCTAACTCCAGTGAAATCTTTAGTTTTGCTCATGGTGAGCAGGTCACACCTATTCATTTATTCTTTCAGGCTGTCATAGTACTGCCAGGTTTCCCAAGCTCTGCAGGAAACCAAGACTGGCTTTGTTAATCTAACTCCTCTATGGAGAGAAAATGCACACTCTCTGCCTTTAAAAAACTTAGTCTTGTCTCACTGCAGCACTATTAAAGAACCAGCCATTTTACAGATAGATTTTGCATCCAGATCACATTCTTCTGCTTTCTCTAAAACCTCCATTCTAACTCTACATATGATGTCCCACTTGCAGCAAAGGTAGATGCAGGCTACACAAAACTATTTGCAAAGAACACAAGGAGATGCACCCTAATCCATCAACTTACCTTTATTTTCTCTGCATTGTGTGTTCTATTGGCCTTGGAGTTGAAGTACTGGTTGATTAACATTTTCTGCCTTTTTACCTTCTCCTTTTGAGCAGTCAACGCAGTTTCCAGTTCTATCACTTTTGCCCGCAGTTCCCGGTTACAGTGTAGTATTTCACTAGATTTACAGCAGGCCTCTTCAAGAGCTTTTTTGAACTACCGGGGAGAGAACAGGGTCAGTTTATATTCACCTGGAAAATGCAGCAGTTGAAAGCCACATCTGAACTCTTCCTTTGCCCCCATCACCCCAAGAGCTCACAGATCTTGGTTTGCTACTTGAAGGGTAATTTTTGTCTGGCTTCTTGATTTAGGGTTATAAACATTCTTTAGGGTATTAGGAATCTCTGCTCAAATTGTAGAGTCTTAGACTAGATCTACCTCTCATGATTGGCATGCAGAAGGTTCTGCTTCAGTCTACGGCCTCTCATTACTAAGGAGTAATGGCTTAACTAACCTTTTCTTCAGTTCTTTAACACCGCTTTCACCACCGATATGAATTCCAAAGGAAGCATGTTAATGCCACCAGCATGTAATGGATCATTATTTTATTCCTTATCAGAGCAGAATCTATCAAGGAGAACTCACTTCTGAGCTGGTCCCCTTCCCTCTCCTCACCTCAGATGATTCTTTATGAGCTGCTTTCTTCGCTACTTCTCGTTCAGTCTGAAACTGTTTCTTCAGGGTCTCAAGGCGATCTCCATAGAACTTGGTCTCCCTCTTGGTTTCTTCAATGAGCTGGTCCCTTTGAGGAGGGAAAAGGAATCACAGGACATCATTCCCATCTTCAGTTGTGAAAGTACAATCCTCAAATAGGCAAAAGAGCTTCTTCCAAATTGTATGCTAGATTTTCTGTTCTTTTCACTTCGTTTTTTGTCACCCTCTCCAAGGCAAAGGCG